GAAAATTAAAGGAATTAGTAGGGAATTTGGGGAATTACTCGGTAAATTAGTAAGCAAATAGTGGAATTAGTGGGGAATTAGAAAGAAATTAGAAGACAATTGATGTCTCGTTTAGCACTTGAATATAAAGAAAAAAACAAAAAAAAACCGGAAGCAGAGCTACTCCATTCTTTGCCAGTTCCAGATTGGGAGTAGTAGACATAAAAACACTATAACTCCTCCGCTTCACAAATATACAATGTTTTAAAGATCTTTTACATTCAATATATATAAGTACTACAACCTTATCCCCAATGAACTAAAGTCCAAGTCAATTATCTGTTTTAAACATAAAGTACGTTCCCTATTATTAAATAATAGGATTATAATTTAATGTTGCAAATGTTTCTGTATTTGTTTTGTTTCTTATTTTGTGCAAGTTTGTTTGTGTTTTTTATGCTAGTTTTTGTTCTCTAATTATTATTATAATTATAAGCCTTGTATAATTTCCTTGTTAATGTATTGCTAATTTTTAACCAATATTAATGTTTATTTTTCTATTTTTTTTTCTATGTTTCCGTGCTATTTTTATGTATATATTTTTATCCTGAATATACAGGTTAAGTGGAAGAGCAGTAGTTCACCAGTAGGTGAATTTAAAGTCGTCATTTTGAGAGCAAAAATAGTTATTATCTAAAATGAATAAATAATTTTAATTTTATTACAGTAGGGTCACAAAAAAAGTAAATATCCAATACACAATAAAGGCTTTTCAAATTTAGGACTTTTTTCTCGATTTTTTTTTTTTTTTTTTTTGATCAACTTATGTCAGGTGTGTAACAGCGTTAAAATATTTAATACTGTTTCAAAGCATTAAAATTGCATTTTTAAAATTTTAATGTAAAGAAAAAAGATTATTATTTAAGTTTACTGCAAAAAAAAATTAAAGTGAACAAAAATTGAATATTTGTGTAACGTATTTTTTACTAATAATAATAAAAACGCACACGCCGGCTAGTTGTCAGTTTGACTTCGTAAGCTAGATCGTGTGTTGGTGTTGGTTACTAAAAATTTAAGTTTTATTAAAAGATGTTTATTTAAATGGGCGCCAAATATTTCAAATTAAACTATGTATTAAACAAGTAAACGAAATATTAATTTTTACTTGAAAAAAAATATAATAATAATAATAATAATAATAATAATAATAATAATAATAATAATAATAATAATAATCTTTATTGCCCAACAGGATTCTCCCAATTACAGGACAATGGTATAAATATATATGTATAACAAATATATCAAATATATATATAACACATATTTAAAACAAATATATCGAACATACAATACAAAAACTTAAGAAATAAAATAATAAAAAATAAAAATAATAAAAAAAAACAATATCCTTATTATTTAAATATATCAACTAATAGCTCATTTCCATTTTTGCACATGGTTGTTATTGGTGCTTTTGATAAAATATTTGTTCTGGAAGTGGGAATTTGAAAGGAGACAGAAGTTCTTGAGTTGTTCCTCGGAACATGAAACTGAATCTTCGATAGTAAGTATTCGCAGTCAACTGTACCCCTTACCAATTTCGATAAAAAACGTGCACTTTGCAAATCTCGCCTTGTGTCCAAGTGCAATATTTTGTATTCACTCATGATACTGTCCAGGTTAGCATTTTGTTCTGGGTACGTTCCATAAATTAAGAGATACATGTATTTTAAGAATCTTCTTTGAACTCTATAAATATTTATGCGATGGCATGTGTATATTGGGTACCAGATCAAACTTGCATACTCCAGCTTGCTTGCTACAAATGACATATAAAGAGACCTTATTAAGGAAACATTTACAAAATCTCTTGTGGATCGAATAACAAATCCCAATGACCTTCCGGCTGCTGAACAAACATTGTTTATATGAGGTACAAAAGAAAGTGTTTGATCAAACAAGACGCCCAAGTCAGTTACCTCATTCTGTCTTCTTAATTCAGTGTTGACGATCTTATACTGGTTTAAGTAAGGAACCTCTTTTCTGGTGTATGTGACCACAACACATTTCTCAACATTGAGTTTTAATGAATTTTTCGTGCACCATAAGGAAATTGTGTTAAGGTCTCGCTGTAACAATTCAGCATCCAAAGGTGTAGATATTTTTTTATAGACTTTAATGTCATCTGCATAGGCCAAAGTAAAACAAGCGAGTGATGCTAGTAAGTCATTAATGTACAAATTAAATAAAAGTGGACCTAGATTGGATCCCTGGGGTACTCCAGAGCTGGCAGTAAAAGAGCATGAAGAAAAACCATTATAACTAACATAGCATTTTCGATTAGTCAAGTATGATTTAAGAAGTAATATATGTAATAGATGTTAAATAGAAAATTTTATAAATATTATTTAGTTTCTGAAATAAAACAAAAAGATGATAAAATAAAAGAACCAGTTTTTACACACAGTTTTTTAATACGCGGACAACAAAACAAATAAAATCTACTTATAATTGTATAGCACAGTGAAAAGAAAACAACTGTTATTAATGCTGATATTTAGGTAAGCTTGTAAAACTATCTATAACAAAATTAAGTAAAATACTATACCCCTTTTAGCATACTGGAAGAAATAATAATAATGGTTGATTTACACAATTAATAAAATTGGCAACAATAATGGAAAACTGCAGTTTACCTTTTACAATTATATAAAATCAGTAAGTAGTATTTCCTTATTTTAGATAGGCGATGTTCCTAAGGCCTGTTGTTTTCTAGGTTGCTTCGGTTTAGTCGCTGAACCTTCAGGATGGTTCACAAGTAGATGACGATGTACAACGGTAACACAAAGGACAATATATTCTTCACAATTTAACGGATTACTGTGTAACTTGAAAAACTTCTCCAATTTCCACAAAAGAAATGAATACAAGATATTTCAAGAATTATCCTTGTTCTACTTCTTCAAAATTTATGTTAAAGATGATATGATGATAAAGTGAAGTTAATTAACTTTTAAAAGTTGTACCCATAAAAGGTGTACTCAAATAAAGGTGTACTCAAATAAAGGTGGCAATTGTTCTACAACAAAATGAAGCATTAGGAAAATTACCATGTGGCCACATTGACAAAGTGCCAAAAAAATGAAGAAAAATGTAAGTAAATTATTAAATTAATAAATTAAATTAAAAAAAATAATTAAAAGATTTACCTTAAAATAAAGATTTGCCTTGTTCTTTATAATAATAGAATTAAATAAATTTTTATTTGGCTTGAAACACAACCGACTTCTTCAAAGTATCGAATAGAAAAGAACGTGGCTAGATCTTAAAAAAATTAGTAATTTTCATTTAGAACCAAATTTGTTTAGAGGATTTTAGCTTTAACTATAGGCATTACCAATATTTTAATTAATGTAAATAAAAAAAATAATGTGTATTTAAATTTGAATTTAATTTAGATTTTAATTTATTTTTAATTTTCAGCCAGCTTCAATTGTCGAAGAAAAATAATAAAAAAATATTCATGAAATTAAATTATGAAGAATAATTACATAAGTCTTTAACAATGGTTATTTAAACAATGGAAATTAAACACAAAAAAACATAAACAAACGCAAATTGCAAATGACAGCACTTACAAGAAAACTATCACCTATTCCTAGAATCTGCTAGGAAAATGGAAATAAACTTAAACATATAAATATAGGTAAGTTCTATTTTATAATACAACTGATACTTTGCAAGTACATTACTATTTGTTTTCAGGATTCATAGAAAATACATGAAGGTCATGTGGAGGTTATGGCTGGAAATATTGGACAAAATTTAAATAACTAAAAGTGATATTATACAGTATGGAGCAGAATTTAAATAAATTATGAAACTAACTCATTTTATTGTTTACCTTTGCATTTTAACACAGTATAAGTATGCAGATGTTTATTACCAATATTTTCTGAAAGCATAAATATAACTAAAATTCACAATTCCAATTAAAATTTTTGTAACGGCATTTTTGCCCGTTACAAGTGACTTACAAAAGATTTGTCGTGACGATTTTAGATTAAAAATGACAAAATGATGACAAGCCAGCTGATGTGGTAACTTTTATTATTCTTAAGGTTTTAAATAAACATAAGGTACGTGGCTCTAAAGTTAAATACCAAACTACAAAATTTTAAAACAAAATATCTCAAACTCAATAGAAAATCAGCTTTCATTAAGCTTAGTGATCCAAAATGGATTTTTAAATTTTAAAACACGTTTGGTAGCATTATTAGGAGGTTCAATACGGGAAATTATATTCTCACTTAAATATAAAACTTTATCTTCTTTTGCAGGCCATATATATTTATTGTGTCCAACACAATACAAAACCTTAACTTCTTATGATCGATTTTTCAATTCAGTACTGGTTATCACACCGGGATAAAGTAAATCGTTGTATTTAACTACCACCCATTGATCAATCATAAGGTTATGTGAAGTAGCAGGCATCACCGCTTTATTAATTCTGTTGCATTCTTTTACTTAATCATAATCTTCGCAAACAATTTCATGCAAATTATGGCAGTTGCAGCTGACAGGATTTTTTTACAAAAGCATGATAGACTTCTACCAAAAAGGCCTGAGCTAGTTGGCTTTAAAACAACCTGTCCGATTTTCATTATGCCTTTGATGGCTTTAACTGCTTTAGTTTGCTTCTTTATATCAAAACTCATTATGTCATCCATAGATATAATAAAGAGGTTTACATTGATTTTCCCTGAAGGACATTGTACAGCGTTTCGGCATCAGGAATGCTAGTTCCTTTAGCCAGTATGCCATCGGCCACTCTTTTGACTGCTGCCCCCACACCGTCTGGAGCACCCTTCCCATGTGACGCTTCAGAAAAATTCCATGTTGGGCAAGTAAAACCGAGTTCTTTGAAATAAGTATTTAAGTAATAAAATTTATCTCTATTCCGGTACTGCGAAGTAGGCCCGATACTAAAAAATGGATGCTTAAAATGCGTTTTTTTAAAGTTTTGTAAAATTGAAAGCATATGCCCAAATAGCAGCTGGATCGTGTCGTGTACAAGATATGGTGCATATGCTTTCTGATGGTTGATTTTCATAGTAAAAAACAACGGTTTGAAGACTGGCTTGATTATGAGAGGACCCAAAGTGCATTGCTTGTATTTCTGATGCCATTTTGCAGATATAATTTTCTGCTTGCGCTTCGTCAAATGCCAACTCAGAAATGCATTTTTGTCTTTGTTGGGTTTGGTGATTCTTCTTGTAAACGTGTGAACAAAACACTGTTCTAAATTCTTTATTAAAATTTAGACAAAGTTCCATCAACTTTCCTTTTTCATTTACAAGTTTGGTTTTGCTTATGGTAAAAGTCTTTCCAGCTTTGAATTTCTCTTCTTTTTCTAATTTCCAAAATTTCCATTCCAATATTTTTTTTGCAAACTCTATATTTTCAACGACAGGTTTATCTCTGCACTTTAAGCAAATATTATTCATGCATTCATTTGATTTGGTGTCACATGTAACAAAAATGCATAATTTTTCAATATCTTTTTCTATACAAAGTTGTTCTCTAAATAGCGTGTCGAGTTTGTACTGCATATTTGAGTGTTTTTTGCACAGACAAGAGTCTCTATCTGACAACTTTTGTCGTACTACCCAGCAAGGCCTGTGTCTGCAAAACGTGAGTAGATGGGAACTCTAAACAGTATTTGTCGTGTAACTTTTAAATTTTCATTTAGAAACCTCTTTTGGTATCTAATTTTTTCTCTCTTAATTGTTTGTTTCTTGCCTGGTGTTAAAGTAGTGATATCATCTCTTATGTAACGGTTGCAAAGCTAAACGTTTACTTTTCATTTTATTGGGGGTTTTCAGTGATGAGTAACATTTAAGGGAAGTCTTACGCAAAGATGAAAATTTGTATTTCTTTATGACTGTACCTGTTTTAGCATTAGCTATTATCTTCTTCTCTTGCACTGAAAAAATGTATCCTTAGCAGTTACCGAAAAATTGTTAAATAAGTATAGATTGTTACGGTTGAAATAGGTGACAGCAAATGTTTGTGGTATTTATTACCACAACAAAAATGTTTTTAAGTCTTAGTAATGTTAAATGAGATGTCGTGTTACATATTAACCATTAATAGCTTCTTAAGCAGTACTAGTACAGTACTAGTACTGTACTACAACGTTGTGGTATCAAATAGAATTACCGAATTCTGATAGTAACTACTGCATTATAGTAAGTCTGAACATTCTTTAGTCGTTTGAAATATGCTTTAAGTGAGATATATTTAATAACAACGAAATGCTATTAAAAAAAGTAATATTTATTGTTTATTAACTTATCAGGGTAATATTTAGTACTTGTATAACCAGTATGTACTAATGTTACGGTATTTAACCAATAATTTTCTTATTTGGTAAGCAGTACTACTTCCAAACGTAAAGTTACCAAATTCTGTCAAAAAATAGAGGGACATTTTGTGTAAATTAACCTTAATTACAAAAATGATACAATCAACAATAATTAAGTAACGTCAAATTTTCAATTTGCATTGTATCATTGTGTTAATTTTGTAATTAAGATAAATTCATACAAAATGTTCCCCTATTTTTGGACAAAATCTGGTCACTTCACCCAAACGGAATAAATACTGAATTAAAAGGTTATCGATTATAGATTTTTTGGTGTTATGTAAAAGTATGCAGTAATGGTTATAGGATAAAAGAGAACATGTTTTTCAACAAATATATATATAATATATATAAAATTCTTAGAATAAAATAAATGATATCTTCTTCTTAACTTTTATGATAAACATAAAAACCTAAACCAACAATAATACAATATATATACTAAATATAAGAAGGTGTAACAATAAAACATTTAATAAAAATATAATAAATAATTTATTTATTTGTTAAATTTTACTTAATATTAAACAAGTGTTTGTCATTCCCAAAAGGGTTAGCTATAAGTTTTCAAACTCATAGAGAACACTTGTTCTGTGGATATTACTAATATATTAAAAAATAATGTCAAAACTCTTCAAAACAAATATTGAACATTGAATCTTATTATAATAATACCTGTAACTTACAGGCTGTAAGAAGAAATACCCAAATAGGTTTTTTACGGAAAAGCATAGAAAAGAATAGTTTTTCTATGGTAAAGGGCAAAAATGTTTATCCCGTCACCACGCAAAGGCTGCAAGCGAATATAAACCTAAAGGTGATACTGATCAAACTATTAAATAGAATGAAGTAAGTATACCCCTTTACAAGCAAAAGCAAAAAGCGTAATATTAGAATGAAGTAAATTAAAGTTATGTTAGGTATATATTCTTAATAATACATAAATAATTAGGTATTAAGTATTTACTTACCCTTAAAAACACAAATTAAATCTTGTAACTTCCAATTTATTAGTAAATCGTCCAATGAGGCGTCTTTAAGCAAGCTTACTAACAACAATGGCGATTGTGCGAGATGAACAGTATAGATAAGCTTTGTTTTAGTATTACCAACTTCAAAATTTCTAAGATATAATAGAACGTTGTAGTAATACTTACCACAAATGTTTAGTGCCGATAAAAGAATTCATATTCGGAAGAGTTACTTGTTACTTGATTTACTTATAATAACTGTCTGAGTTGTTTATAAATTAACGATGTGGTATTAGTTTGGCAGCATTTTGTAATACTTTTAAATAGGATCTGTTTTAGTTAAGCCTACTATAACAACTGTTACATATTTGACATTTTTCCTGTTGTTATATATTAAGGGTTTTAGGTCGCCATTAATACTAAAGCATGTATTATTTCATACTAATTTAGGCTACATTTTTGTTGCAGTATTACTAGATAAATGCTTGGTTTTTCTTTATGCATCGTAAATGTATATTAAACATTTTGCCTTTTTATTTTTTACTGAACCTATACTACAATTACGTAGTAGTAAAAATTTTTAAATAAATTTTTTCAGTGTGCTCAGAGAGCTCTGCAATTATCGTAATTTTCTTTTACCTGCTTGACTAACAAATTATGAAATACCAAAGTCTTTACAACAGTATCTGGAACTTCATATCCTTGCGTATCGTTCATGGCTTTGGTGAAGGGGTTTGGTGGATCTGTATTCTGCTTTGCACTTTTTTTGTTCTTCGTATCCAAATTCTTGTATCTGTGATAACGTTTTCTGTATTTTTCAACTGCTTTTTTTGACTTCTTTAACTGTTCTTCCAATAGCCTACTTTTCTGTATGAATTTATTTACGAACTCTTGTTCTTCCAGATAACCTGTTCGCTTCTACATATGGATTTCTTGCCCCTTTCAATTTCTCATTAACATCAATTGGATCCGGGGTGCCTGGCGGCGTGATTTCTTCAAGGAATTCAAATTGTCCACGATGGATTTTCTTGTTTTCTCGACATTTCAATTGGTCCAATCTCCATCTTTTTCTCCGAAAGCGTTGTTTCCTTGTTGAGAGCTCAGCAATAGGTTTTCTCGATTTCTTAGCCCTCTCCCTACCCTTCCTTAAATATACTTGATGTTTTTCTGGGTTTTCTTTAACCTTCTCTCTATAGCGCCTTGCCCGTTCTGCCTGAGATAGCACAATTTCTAAAAATATAAAAGTTTACTTATAATAGTCAGGTACGTCACGCATAAGTCAGCTCCGTCACAAAAGAGATTGTGACGCACCTGACTGTGACGCACCTGACGTGTTAATATAAACTCACTAGTTGCCACTCTATTTACTTTATATTTCGGTCACAATTTAAGCATAACCTCTAATTTTGCATATTCTAACATGTTCATTTATTGTTTATAAAAAAAATAAACGAACAACTACATCTTCATCGTGCAATCTGTACTTTGATTGGAATCTGGTACGGCACATTAAACAAACAAATAACAATGACGTTTCTCTAAAATCGTTTATGCGAACTCATAGCGCCATCTTTGATTTTGATATAAAAATATTGAATGTGACTTACCTGACGATTTAAGCTTGGGACGCAGATTTTTTTAAATTTTAGTAGAAATATAATATAATTTTAAAGTTCTGTTTTGTAATTTGATTACACAAGCTACAATTTTATTTAAAGGAAGAAAAAATGTTCTACATGTTTGGTATTTTAGTAATAAAATCGTCTTATTCCAATTGGGCAATAGGTTGGGACCGTGACGAACACTGACGTTTTACCGTTTTAATAAAAAAATCAATACTATATTATATATACATATATATATATATATATATATATATATATATATATATATATATATATATATATATATATATATATATATATGCAATCCTACATTACCAAGCCCGAAACGTTACATTCTACAGTATAAACGAAGCCCACTCGGTTTTTACGAAGCCCGAAATCGGGCTTCCTAAAATTAGCGTGTATAAATTTGTTTTAGAGTTAAGTGATGCCCCCTTGTTTCAATGGCGAAAAAGTGGTGGGCTTCCTAATGCTATTCAAACCTATCAAAATATACACCCTTAGTTCCAATGCTTTGGCGGTAGGGGGCACACGAGTCAAAGGAGATTATATACAGCTTTGTATAAGTATTACGCAGTATACGAAGCCCGTACATCTGGCAACAATGGGGACTATACGCTCGATGACTTTTTGATAGAAAGGCGGGGAAAATAATGCGGGATTCTTAAATTTGTATCTACTGATTTTCAAAATAAATGTTATATTCCCAAAATTATGTTTTGTTCACTACATGGCGTGGATTAAAAGGCAATGTTTTGTTAAATACTTTCGTAATACACTTAATTTTAAAGAATTATTTATTTTTGAAATATTATTTGGAGTGCATTTTTCTTTGGGGCGGTTTTACAAGTTGACCAGATATTTTACATAGTTTTAATTGGGGAAACAAGGGGATTTGTATATATTATTATTATTATTCAATGTAACATTTAAATAATTTAAATAAAAATAATTTTTAATTTATTTGAAACATTTCCAATTTTAATAAAAATAATTTTTAATTTATTAAAAAAATTTCCAATAGCGGTATGAAATAAATTAAAAATTATTTTTATTAAATATCATTTTAATGTAACATTGAATTGCAAAAACTGCTTTTTGACAGATAGCTTCTCATGGCAATTTGTCAATTAACATTTATACAATTTATTTATACATGGCAAACAACGACCAAACGACCAAACAACAATAAGAAATTGGGTTCTTTATTTGGATAGTGCTTATCTAAAAGGAACCAAAAACTTGTTCGGAGCTTAACAAACTTTTTTGTATATACCTAACTCATTTTTAATGCTGCTCAAAAACTTAATTATAATTTGAGAGTCCTCTCAATAATTTAAAAGAAGTTCTAAATAATGATAAACTTTTTGAGCATTATTAAAAATGAGTTATTTTACAAAAAATTTTGTTAAGTCCAAAAATAGTTTTTGGCGCTTGGTTCCTTTTAGATAAGGATTGTCCATTTATACTTACCATTACAATATTATTTTATCAACCGTTTTGGTTAACGTAATATTTTATCTACGATTTTTATTGGATAAAAGGCAGCTTTAGCTTTATAATGTAGCTATAAAACAATATTTGGTTGGTAATACATTTTTCTTGTTTATAGGATGCTAAACTAAATAGCAATTTTCCCCACATTTTTCAACTTTTAATTTGGTTTAGTTTTCCTAAATTTTCCCAACATTTATTAAAATGGATATAGCCGGTTTTCCACGTATGCTCCTCAACTATGGTCTAGGTCTTTTAAATCAAATTTGCCTAAATTTAGACAATATTTTTAAATAATGACTTATAATTCATTCAATAAAATAATAGTTTTTATTAAAATAATTATAAATCACACTATTTTTAAATACACTGCCCTACAAAATTATTGCATAATAAATAAAAAAAATTAACTCTAAAACGCCTTTACAAATCTTTATGAAATTTTGGATAAAAATACTTCAACTTATATCTCAATTTACGTGTTCAAGGGTTTTTCGAGAAAATATGTTTACAGCCTTTTTATTTAATAATGAAAAAAAGTTCGAAATATAACTTTTAGGGAATTTTTTTAAATAAATAAAAAATATGCTGTTAAAGAGCGTATTTTTTTTAGTATACCCTGAAAATTTTGTACAAATCAAGCGAACAGTAACGAAGATACAGCGCTTCAAAGTCGTGAAAAATGACCACTTTTCAGCAAAATAATCAAAAAGGCGTTATTTTTACCGACTTTGAAGCGCTGTATCTTCGTTAATGTTCGTTTGATTTGTACAACATTTTTAGGGTGTACTAAAAAATACGCTCTTTAACAGCATATTTTTTATTTATTAAAAAAAAATCCCTAAAAGTTATATTTCGAACTTTTTTTCATTATTAAATAAAAAGGCTGTAAACATATTTTCTCGAAAAACCCTCTAACACGTAAATTGAGATATAAGTTGAAGTATTTTTATCCAAAATTTCATAAAGATTGGTAAAGGCGTTTTAGAGTTAATTTTTTTATATTTATTATGCGATAATTTTGTCGGGCAGTGTATTAAAGTATACGTCATTATTTAGATTTTTTAGAATTTTTGGTGTATTTAAATCTAAGAATTTAAAAAAAACTAGATGTCTTTATAATTCATGAAAAAAATATTCAGTCAGTTTCACTTCTTTTGATTCCCATTTAAGTTTTACACAAATAATTCTTATAATAATTATAATTACCTATTGATATATTTGTATATTTTTTAATAACATATGGAAATATATTTTTTAAAGGCTTAACTTTTAAACAAAAACAAAACGCATCCATGTCATTTAAGAAAAAATGTTTATAATTAACCCAGCTATCATCTGACAAAGTTTGCCATAGAGCTTGTAGAGCACCCTGTAAAAGATAATTAAACCTTTTCAAAATTATGATGTATAAACAAAATAAATGAAATGTTTATACCTATAGGTACCTAAATTCAACAATACTTTTAAATTATTATAATATAAATAATTATAATTTAACGATAATTATTATTATAATAATTATAATTCAACAATATTATTAAATATTTAAGTATACCTACGTCATTATTTAAGAATATTGTTAAGTTTAAGTATCGAGTATCGTCTAGGTATTTTAAATAAAATTTGCCTATAATTATAAATTTAGACAATATTTTTAAATAATGATTTTTAATTAATTTAATAATAATTATTATAATAATTTTTATTATAATAATTATAATTCAACAATATTATTAAATATTTAAGTATACCCACGTCATTATTTAAAAATATAGGTTAAGTTTAGGTATAGTCTAGGTATTTTAAATCAAATTTGCATATAATTATAAATTTAGACATTGGCAACACCGCAGGGCTTCTGATACACAGCGGAGTGTGTCTCTTGTTGTTTATGCACCAACGAACAGTTAACCGCCCCGTCCCGCATTACCGGGCTTCGACTAGCCAGTGTAATGCACCGGGCTTCGCATTGATAGCCGTGCATGTATATATATATATATATATACATATATATAAAACACTTTTTTATTATAAAGACAAAATTTTATTTTACAACTAAATGGCAGAGTAACGTACAATATGAAATGCAAACAGAGAATAACTTTTACAGAATTGCAATTTTTATAAGGAATTAAAAATGCTAACTAAACATAATAAACTTCCAGTGGTGGCGCACATAACTCCTCCCTTATCAGAAAGTTATTTGGGGGTCGACAGACTTTAAATTGGTTGGTATTTGTTGAGGCGTTGGTTTTTTCAGTAGACAAATATCAAGTTTTTTTCCAGATGGACCGGGACAAACATAACATTACAAAACCATAAAGCAAAAATATCCTGATTGGGTGAATTTCCAATTTAGGTTCCTTCAAAGGGATTTCTTGTAGAGACGCCTTGAGGTCCATTAGATCATCGAGGTTTATATTTTGAATCTTCACAGAATTGATAGTATGTTTTGTATCGAATTTGACTTTGTAGGTTGTCATAAATGGTTGCTCTTAGTAAATCTCAATGTCTGTGCTTCGGATGATTTTATCGTCAACTATTATTTAAAAGTTGATCGACTTGAGCAGACAAGGTTGTTTTACAATGAGGTTCGTTACTTAGCCGTTACAATCTTCGGTGATGGTTGCTTTTGATTTCGGTAATATTATCCAGTAATTTTGTTTCACAGATGTTGGGGTCGTTTAATTTATCTTCATCGGAGTAGTCGCATAAGTAAGTTTTTCTTAATTGCTTACAGTTTAACTGGTTATCGAATATATAAGTTTTATCAGATTTTAACAGAAATCTTGTTTTTTGTATAACTGCCATGAATGTATTATTATTTTTTTTGGGTATGGAAAACAAATGCTCAAATTTGCATTGTTTATTATTGGTGTATTCAAAACAAAAATTAATTTAAAATTAAAAACTTAAGTGCTTTATTTAATAATTTTTTTTGTAATCGAATATATTATCCTAATCAGACTTTATTGGTAAGTTTAGTTTTGTATTTAATAATGTGAGTTCGTAAAGTAAGTCATAGTTACTCAGTATTGAAGAATGTAGTTTGCTTAATTTTGAAAAGTTTATTGCTGTATCTAATTCCAAAAGAATTAACCTAACTATCGTTATTAATTAAATTAATATAATTAAATATAAGTATAATGTGATTATTTGGTTGAACATTTCTACTTAAGTACCTATGCTATTTTATTAATTTTGTATTGAAGTATATGTTTATGATGTATGGTTGACATAATTGCATTAAACTTATTTATTAATTTTCGCGATACTGTATTTTGTTTGTTTAAGTGAATCTGGAGATCTTTTTGATTATGTTGTAATTTATTCAACAGCTGAACGTAGCGTTGACCGTCGTTATCATTGAGGTTTCTGGTTACTGTTT